TCCCAATTACCCACGCCAGGCCTGCCTTGGAGTCATGTGTCCGATTTGTATGGCCAGCTTCTGCAGGTGTTGGACCCACAGGAAGACAAATCCATGTTGCTCGTTTCTGCTGAGCCCGACCAGGGCCCATGGGTAGAGACCTGGTAACCAGGTGCTTGCCAACAAGCCCTTCCCCCAGGCCTGGCTCCAGGGTGGGGCCCCGGTAACCCATGTCCAAGCAAGTGACATTGAGCTCCTTGCTTTTTCCTGGCCATACGAGTTTTTGGAATTGCTCTTTGTCTGGCCTGTCATCTAGAGCCATTCTGCCTTGGGAGACCCTGCCATGGGTAATTACAATTACCCCCAACATCATAGCTCCCAGGATCAGATGACATGGTACCCCAAATCATCATTGACTGTTGAAACTTCACACTGAATTTCAACAACGTGGATTCTGGGCCTCTCCACTCTTCCTCCAGACTCTGGGACCTTGATTTCTAATGCCCCATTTGCACTGCCCCTAATAAGGCCCAATTCTGGGCAGCCTGCCATAGAAATAACCCTTTTGCACTAATCCAACAATTTTCAGTCAGGTCATCTGGACAGTTTCTTTTTTTTGTGCTGAAACGTTTCGCCTTTGATCCGGAAGGCTTCGTCAGTCAAGGAAACACACAACAAAACTCATTCTTCCTCCAACAGCTTACTCCAAAGTGGAACAAACCAGTTCTGCTTGTGATTAGATGGTCTCTTTGGTACGCCCCTCCTCCATTGCCGGCTCTCTTCCTTGTTGACAGTCTTGTCAAACTGGTTGAAAACAACAAAGTCCAGGCTCAACAATCCATGTATAAAATCCAACATTTTTCAGTCAGGTCATCTGGACAGTTTCTTTTTTTTGTGCTGAAACGTTTCACCTTCGATCTGGAAGGCTTCATCAGTCAAGGAAACACACAACAAACACTGGTTTGTTCCACTTTGGCATAAGCTGTTGGAGGAGGAATCAGTTATGAAAAATGTTGGATTTTATACCTGGATTATTGAGCATGGACTTTGTTCTTTTGCACTAATACTTTAACTAGTATTTTTAGCTGATTTGAGGCTGATTCAGGACCTCTTTTCGTCCCTGCTTCTCTGGTGGGACCGAGCGAGCTCAGTCGAGCTGAGTCCGGACCGAAACGTGAATGCAGGACATTGATTGGTCAGGGGGAGGAGTCATTGGATCTCAGAAACTTTTCACCGATCCGCTATTTTTAATTTCTCAGGACGCAGAGCAGCAGCTAGATCTATTTTTAAGATTTTAAAAACAATAATGACAACGCCGTGTTTAATTCTGAAGTCCAGGCATTTTTTGTGTTTGCTGACTGACGACAAAATTCGAGGGAGCGGTGTCACCGCGGAGGATCATACGAGCTGCTGACCTGTTGAAGCCCGCGAGGCCGGAACTCGAGCTCCGGCCTCACCTGCTCACAAAGACTGGATTCTGAGCCCTGGCAGGCGGGAGGACCGGGACAAAGGGTGGAAACATATATATATATATATATATATATATTTTTTTTTTTTTAACATTTAATGTATAAAAAATAATTTATTTTATCAGTGAACATTAAAAAGTAAATAAACGGTGCCAGCTTTATCATGAAATCCTGTTTTCACTTTGACTTTATTAAATAATCTGTTAATTAAAGTTAACTCAGCTGAAATATCATAAAAAGACCAAATTATTAGATCTCTCAGGAATATTTCCCTCAAACATGTTTAAAGAAGAGATACAGCCAACTTTATTCTAACCCACAGATGTACAAATCACAAAACAAGCATTGCACTTTAAATAAAAGCTTTAAATCAAAGCTAAACTTTAATTTAAAGCTAAAAATAATCTGTATACAAGAAAAAATAATCTGTATACAAGAAACAAAAGCACAATGAGCGCAAATACATCAAATGATGAAGAAAAATATAGAATTTTAAACACAGATATCCTGATGCATGCTCAATAATCCAGATAGAAAAATCTAAAAAAGTTAAGTCTGGTACTCTGGACATTCAAAAAAGAAAAAATGTTTCTTCTTTCATCTGACATACTTCTTCAGTCTGAGGTGTTGTATTCACCTCAGACTGAAGAAGTCTTTTGGATGAAAGAAGAAACATTTCTACATTTTTTTTTTTTTTTTTTTTTGAATGTCCAGAGGACCAGACTTAACTTTTTTAGATTTAAATATAAATGTTTTTGTAGAATCTGGTTCATCAGATTTAATTCAGTTCAGTTTATTTATATAGCGCCAAGTCACAACAGAAGTCGTTTCAGGGCACTGAACAGAAATATTCATATATAAAATAAGTTAACAGAAACATTCATTTATATAAATAATAATTTAACATTATTTATCTGAGGAGCAGACTGCTTTGAGTTTAACTCATCACAGAACTCTCATTAGCAGGACTTGGATTCACGACACGCCTCCAGAATCGGTCCTAAAGTGCAGGTGCAAATCCAGGCTGAGCTGAGCCAGGCTGAGCCGGGGTGTGCAGGGCTGAGCAGAGTTGGGGCTGATTAGGAGCAGTGCAAATGAGGCATAAATGATATGCAACATTCACTTTCATCTGAGAAGAGGACATTAAACCACTGAGCAACAGTTCTTTGTCTCGTCTGCCAGATAAGACATCTCTGGTTTAGGAGTGGCTTGACTTGAGGAATTCTACATTTGTAGCCCATGGCTACGAGTTAATTAACTGATTAGTTTTAATAAGACAAGGATAAACAAAGAAAAAGCCTAAAGCAAAAAGACAAGATCAACTGCCTAAAAACAGGTGCAGATGACTGTTTTTTTTAGAATTCTTTAAAAACATTCTCCCTGAAAACAGATTTTCTGATTCATCACTGTGAAAAAAAGAGCAGGTACAATGAGGCATTGTTCACATAACTGATGAACTGGGTTTTGGCCTTTTTTTATTTTTATTTTTTCAGCTTAACTGTGTATCCTACTATTTTGCCAGTAGTGCTTACTTTTCTTTTTAATCAACAGCTTCATAAAAGTTATAGTCTTTACATTCTTCATGCTTGTCAATAAAACCTAAGAGGTTACAATCATTTCCCCCTTTTGGTTGCTTTAAAAATGCTTGTGAATTGTATTGTCACAAGGTGGAAAGAAAATGTCACCTAAGATTGTCTTCTCTTTTAAATTGCACAATGCTGCTACAAACATACAGTACTTATTTCGTGAATCAGTTATTTCCTAATAACGGTTCTAGATGATGTGAACTTACTGCCATTTGCAGAAGTGTTGTCACATTTTCTTTACTAATAGTTTCACCACCAAGTGCTTGTGCTACACAGTACAAATGTGCCCTCCAATAAAAGATCACACTGAAAAGAACATAACGGTAAACCAACAGTCTATTAAAGCAAAAAGTAACATCTGTCCGCACTCAAAGAACGGAGTGCATAAGAGGAGTGCGGAGTTTAACAAAACCTGAGAATCTTCATTTGTTAGTTTTAATGTTCAGTTTCTATAAATTGCACCTGTTTGTTGCATTTTTTGCTTGTTTTGCACCTGCTCCGATGTAACTGACACGTCAGGTTTTTTTCAAGGTGTTTCCTAATTCTTGAAACCAAAATTGTATTGTAATGTTTTTCATGGAGAGAAATAGCCAAAAAATTAGTTGTTACTGAAATTAAGCAATATAATTCATTCTTGTAAATAAATCGTTTTTGTCTTTTTGGTTATTTGTTTGACTTTTTAGAGGACTTTCATTGTGTTTAGAGTACTTGTCTTTATTGGGTTTTTCTTCTCTTTTGCCTCTAAATGTTTTCAAGATGTCCTGCTTCAAACTCGGCTCTTTTTATTTATAATCAGTTCACCTGTCCTCACTCAGGGATCATCTTCCACAGGACATAAACCTCTCTCACCAGTTCTTTTTCTGATTTCAGGTTTATCAGTTACAGTGGTTGCCTCAGTTTTGTCATTGAATAATAAGTTCGTTGCTAAAATAGTTGCACTTGTACACCACCACACTCCACACATTACACTTTTGTGACACCAGGGGCACAGGTAAAACATTAAGTTTAAGTGTGCATGAAGTGCAATAAGTGTAAAACCACTAGACTGAGGAACAGCTTCTACCCTGAAGCTGTTAGACTCATGAATCAGGATTATCACTGTAATGCTATTTTAATTGTTATGTGCTGCTGATTATCCATGCTGCTGATTTATTTCATGCTGCTGTGTTCATTCAAACTCATCTGCTCACACAGACTCATGTTCGTACTGCTGTTGTTAGGCGTATTGTTTTTGTACTTTTAGTTCTTGGTGTATTATTAGTTTAGCGTATTTCTTAGTTCATATCTTAGATCTTATTACTGTTTTTCTTTACAATTTATACTTTTGTTGGATGTAACTGGGACCCAGTGTACACAGTTTCATTCCATCACATATACCACATGTGATGATAATGACAATAAAGAGAACTTGATGTTAAACTTTTTTTTTTTACTTTTTGTATAACCCTTCACATATTTTGCAAACTTTTAAATATTTGACATTCCTTACAATCTACTTAAAACAGGAAGTTATTTCTAAATGAGAAACAAGTTATTCAAGTGGTTTCTTCACCCAAAACTGGTATTTTGAGGACACTCCCACAACCCAGAGTGTGTATAAGTAAAACTTTGAGTTGATTAGTTGCATCTGTGCAGACATTTCAGTCTTTACTTGGAAGAACCTTGTGCTCCATTTCAAAGGTAAGTATTTGTTGTTTTTTGTGTTTTAGGAAATTGTATTGAATTAAGTTATTCATTGTTTTGCTTCATTTATTTAGTATTTATGAGGCTTTAATTTAATAATGCATATCTGTGACTGGTTGTAGAACTGAAATAAGTCTTTCAGAAAAATAGCATTTATTTTATGTTGTTTCTGCTAATTATATCAAGCAATATATTGCTGTTTTTAATTATATATTTATGGTTCGCTAATATAAGCGTTGTTTCTCCATTTCACCCTCAGGATTAATCTAATTCCAAAACTGGAATGGCAGAATATAAGGTAACTGTGTTCACTGCCGATCGCATCAGTGCCACCACTTTAAACAACATCTTCATTAAGCTGGTGGGCACAGATGGGGAGAGTGAACGCAAGCAGCTCATAAGCTTGAGGGGGGCTTCAGCTTTCATCAGAGGAGCTGTAAGTTAAAAAGATTAAAACATCACGTTCAACTAGATCTCTGTCTGCTTCATCTTTGCTTTCTGCTAATGAGAAAAAAAAAAAATCTTAATGTGAGTAGCAAAACTCCAAAGTGTTGTTTTTCACAACGTTAAGCCCAAAATATTTAATTTGATTCAGTGATTATGTTGCTAACTTTCTTAAATTTTAATGTTGACAGACCACTCCCTCTGAATACAGTTGGTGTTTTTGAATCACTTTCAGGTGTCAACCTTTGCTGTGGTCTGTCCCACTTCCATTGGAAAACTGGTGCTGATTGAGCTAGACAAACAGTCTTTCCTGTTCTTCCCAGAAGACTCTTGGTTTCCCTCCAAGGTGGTGGTCAAATCCTCTGAAGGACAAACCTTTACCTTTCCCATCTACCGCTGGATCTCTGACAGCGTGGTGCAACACTTCAGGGAGGGAACAGGTTTGTAGACATTCTAAGGAAACAAATGCATTTCAACATTACTTTAAAACCTTTTTTATTTTCCAGCTCTAAGAGGCTTTGAAGACAGCCATCGTCTCGGCCAGAACAGTCGAGAGCAGGAGCTTAAGAAGCGTCAGGAGGACTACCGGTAAGAGCTCAGTGGTGTGCATTTTATAAATTGCACACAAATTATGGGATTCTTCTGAGTCCTTTAAAAATATAAGAGTCTAAAATCAAACATTAAAACAATGTTTAATTTTTCACCCAGCTGGAATGTGTATGCAGAAGGAGTCCCTCACTGCATAAAGGCAGATGACCCTCAGTCTCTGCCATGTGAGGTCCGCTTCTCCTTCACCAAAGAGACTGAGTTCCTTTTCACTTCATCTACAGGGTCAGCTCCTCATGTTCTGCCATGCTTGTCCAATAAACCTCTAAAATTATTCTTCAAAATTTGCTTTTTTCTCCCCCCTCTCCACAGACTAACAGAGCTGAAACTGAAAGGGCTGGCTGACCGTAAAGAGAAATGGACTAATATTGACCATATCGGTCGAGTGTTTTGTTGCAAACACACTGACTTATCGGGTACTGTATCCTTAACTGCATACATATGTAATTAAATTGGCCAAAATATAAACTATCAACTCTTTTATAAACATGGAAGCTATATATATATATATGTATGTATGTGTATATATATGTTTGTGTGTGTATGTAAACCATGAAATTGTTTGGTTAAATGTGTTTGCAGAGTATGTCAAACAGCAATGGAAGAAAAATGAATTTTTTGGATACCAGTTTCTGAATGGTGTCAATCCCATGTTGATCAAACGCTGTGATGCCCTGCCCAGTAACTTTCCTGTTACCAATGACATGGTTCGGACCCATGGTCAGGGCAGCCTGACTGATGAAATTAAGGTGATTTGTCTCAATGAAATGGGAAAGATTTTTTTTTTTTTTTTTTAACCATATACAGTAAATCTTTTGAAGTGTCCAGTTGAAATTTCTCTCCCACCCCAAAATACAGAAAGGCAACATTTTCCTGTGTGACTACAAGATTTTGGAAGGTGTTGAAACAAACACCATCAATGGGAAGAAACAATATCTGATGGCTCCACTGGTCCTGCTCCAAAGCACTCCAGATGATGGATTGTTGCCTCTTGCTATTCAGGTAAACTCAATAATCAGATGGCTAACATAAATCTTATTTAAGATGGGTTTTTCATAAATGTGCTTTGATCAGTTCTGAGGGTGACTTTAGTCTCAAGACTTCAGTTGTAATTCCTGATAAGGATTTTAGTATCAAACTAAGGTGATAAACCTGTCAAAACAACAAACCTAAATCACATGTGCAACTGGATAATTTCTATTCTCTGTCTAAGGAGTAATAAAGTTGAGTAGGCAAAAAATAAAAATTATCTTAGCAAGCATATCCTTGTTCTATTGGAACTATTTATTTTATTTTTTTACCAGGAATTTGATTTTGTGAAACAATGTCTTTCAGGGAGTCCTGGTCAAAGTGACTGCTTAAATCCAATGAAGTTGTTTCCATGCACTGCCTGGTGCATGGGGGTTAAAAAAAACAAACAAATTCTATAACTAAATTGTTTTAAATGCAGTCTTATTTGAATAGTTTTGGATTTTGTGGGAGTGATGGAGCAGAGGTTAGAGAAAGTGGGCCTGTGATTGGAAGATCGCTGGTTCAACTCCCTGTACCAACATCAAAATGTGGGTGGGATAGGTGAAGCACCCCCACCTGTCTCCACCCTCTTCTGCCCCACTCTGGGACCTTGAGCAAGGCTCTTAACCCCCACCATCTGCTCCCCCGGGTGCCCTAGAATAGGCGCTCTCTGCTCCACACAGAGGGCTGTGGTAGCTTGGTGGTCTTTGGTTGTGTCAGGAAGGGCATCTGGCGTAAAAATAATTGCCAAGTCTTCATGCGACTTAGTTCGCTGTGGTGACCCCTGAAGAAGGGAGTAGCTGAAAAATAACATTTTGAATAGTTTTGGATTGCTTGAATTTTTGTACAAACTGGACCCATTTCTCTAAATGCATTGCCCTAAAATGTGTGTGGGTGGGTGAACTGACATATTAGAAACTAACCCTATTGCAATTTTGTTGCAGCTGAGGCAGGAACCAGCTGAAAACAACCCAATCTTCCTTCCATCAGATTCTGAGTATGACTGGCTGCTGGCAAAAATTTTTGTCAGAAGTGCAGAGTTTAATGTGCATCAGCTTGATGTTCACCTGCTGCGCACTCACCTGCTGGCTGAGGCTTTTGCTGTGTCTTTGCTGCGCAATGTGCCCATGGTTCATCCTCTGTACAAGGTAAGTGAAGCTGAGGATGAAATGAAAAGGTATAAAAGCATGTAAATATTTAAGATGGCTAAATGGCAATGTATCACCAAATGTCTATCCATCCATTATCTTTACCAGTTCTTTCTTTTTGGTTTGCAAGAGTCATTGGTGCCCGTATTCAGCATTCACTGAGAGACAGGAGACACCCTGAATAGGTCTCCAATCACTGGGCCCCACATAGACAAATGAGACAACTATTCACCATAGACATACAGTAGATATGTGGCTGCCTCATTGAGCGATTCAGATCGCTCAGAGGGTGACATCACTGCCATATTGGGAATGGCAAAAGTGAAGCAATAGAAGATGCCTCATTCATTTAGTGGCAACACATGGAAAAAGCTGTCCAAGACTATTTGTTTCCGAGGTTTTTAAGAGTCAGAGTGTTCAATACCCCACCACCTGTAAAAGCTATATTGGTGTATTTATGTTGATCTATGTGGTTAATCAATCTGTTAAATCAGTTAAATGGGAATGTTGGTGCTCTTTGTTTAGAAAATTCACAGCTACAGTACATTTCAGGATCTGATTATTATAGACACAGATTAAATGTTAAATATGAATATTTCTATATGAATCACCAAAGTAATGGTGTTATATATGTCAGTAGTTGCAAACACTTTAGAGAATGCATAGGTTTTAGTGCTTACCTATAACCTAAACATTTTTATTAATCACGTTAAAAGTTACAAATGTTTGGGGGGGTAGGCCACCTGGTTAAGGTTTGGGCTGTGGGTGAGCTTTGAGCCTTAGGGGTCAGGCGGGGGTGGTGCTCTGGTTCTCCCTGGGTCGGTCGGATTTTTTGATCAAGTTTCCTGGTTGCGATGGCCAGCCCTTTGGCCAGGGTAGCTGCCGGGTTCTGGCAGGGGGTCGTGTGTGTGTGTGGGTGGTCATTGGTGGTGTATGGCAACGATCGGGGGCGTGGCTTCGCTTTGACGTGGCACTGGCTGGTCAGCCTGGTGTGACATTTGCGATGGGGAGTGCTGTATGTGTATGTGTATATGGGGGTTGGGGGAGTGCGACGGCAGTATGCATCTCTGGGCCTGTGGTGTGGGATTGGTAGGGTGCCTGGTCTTTGGTGTGCTGGGCCGGCCTTCCTCAGCTGCTGCTCTGGCCCCCAGCCTGGGGCCGGCCTGCGGTCGCTGTCGGGTGGGTGGGGCGTATGGACAGCCCAACAGAGGCACTGTCGGGTTGTCTGTGTGTGCCTGTTTGTGTCAGGTTGGGTTTTGGGTGGTCCCCTCTCTTGGATCATTTTGGGCCCCCCATTTAATGTGGGGTCTACTTCCCCCATCGTACTCCTCTCTGGTGGCGGGTCCCCCTGCCGCTGGTGCGTTGTTGGCTCTTGGCATGTGGGGCTCGGTGCTTGGGTGTGTGCTGGCCCACCCTTGTGGCTTAGAGTTGCATTCGGGCCCGAAAAATCTGATCCGACCCGGCCCCAGCCAGCAGTCATAATTTCCGAACCCCACCTGACCCGACAAATTAACAGTAATTACAAGTCCGAACCCAGAAAACCCCCCAACATTTTTAGTTATAAACGGTCCGGGATGCGTAGCTGAATAAACGGGGCAGAAGATTCGGAGCTGAGTGGTGTTTGTACTTTCATGGCCGTAAAAGAACATTTAAAACCCGTTTCTGCCTGCATTCTTCTGAATTACTGAGACACGCAGACAGGTTACAAATGTTGTCTTTGGTGCCTGTTTATTTTCTAAATATATTAGTGTGTGAATGACAGGAATCAACTCAAAGCACTTTGTAGAACGGTGCTTTATGAAGTTCAGTTCATCTTAGTTGACTGGCAGATCTGCCACATTCAATATGGTGGACGTTCTGTCATACAGTTGCAGCGGGCCAGCCCGCTGTGATGTGTTAATGTATATAATGTCTATGCCATTCACTCTTCACATAAAGCTAATTCAGTTGCCAATTAGTCCAACGTGCATGTTTTTTGTCGGTGTGAGGAAACCACAGTACCTGGAGAAAAGCCACACTTGCACATACAGAAAACATGCAGACCCCACCCAGAAAGGTCCCCAACCAGGATTTTATAAAACAACCTTCTTGCTGAGAGGCAAAAGCTTTACCAACTGAGCCACGGTGCTGCCCTAACACACTACAGGAAGGACACTACATTTGAGGAAAAAAGATGGCATAATTGAGTTGACGAAGTTTGAGTGCTGCATGGAAAATGCATTGTTTAAAAGAGTGTTCTCTTTCCTCAGCTTCTTATACCTCACACTCGCTACACTCTGCAGATCAACTTCTTGGCTCGAAAGAGACTGATATCTGAGGAAGGCAGTTTTACCCAGGTTTGGAAATCTCATGCAGTAAGCTAAATTGGCACTGGATTTTTATTTCAAGTAATTTGGTTACTGATTCTCCTCCTCCAGTTTGCAGCCTCTGGTGGAGCAGGTATGATCACAATCATGAGGAGGTCACTGTCCTCCCTTACATACAGCTCCCTCTGTATACCAGAAGACATCGCAAAGCGTGGGCTGGAGGCCATACCCAACTTTTACTACAGAGAGGATGGACTCAAACTTTGGGATATTATACACGGGTAAAAACTGTCCATGCACTCTTGTTTACACACGACCAAGCCTTTTTTTTTATGCTGTTCATTCTGTAGATGCTGAAAAGAGCATCCATACATTTTCCCCCTTTTGGCATGCATACATAAATAAGCTTTTAGTTACTGACATAATCAGCTGCTCAGAACTGATGTCAAGTGATCTGCACTGACATATAATGAAGACCTGATCCTGACATCTGTCTTGCAACAGTTTATTTATTTATTCATTTATTTTAGTTCCTTGTCTTGTAATTAGACTCAGTCCAAATGATCAAAATGAGTTTACCTTCCTGTGGGCCCACCACCTGCAGGAGTGACCACACAAGTCAGGTGCATGACTCCATGGGCAGTGGTCGAAGGCGGGGGCCTTGGCACTCTGACCCTGGCTTAACAAAGCTGACTCATGGGACATGGAACGTAAACCCTCTGGCGGTGAAAGAGCCTGAGTTTGTGCATAGGGTTGAGAGGTACCAACTTGATATACAGTAGTTGGGCTCACTTCAATGCACAGCATGGCTTCGGTACCAAACGCCTTGAGGGGTTAGACCTTATTCCACTCTGTAGTTGCCCATGACGAGGGGCATCAAGCTGGTGTGGTATACTCTTAGCCCCCGACTTGGTACCCATTTATTACTTTTCCACAGTAGACAAGACAACAGCTTCCCTGAATCTTTTTAATTCATTTATTTTTCAGGGGATGGGCGGTCTTTCTGAGGAATTTTGGCTTAAGAGATGTTTAACCCTTAATGTCCATTTTTAGGTTTTGATTGAATTTTACTTAATGTGTGTAATTTTTGTTCATAGGACAATGACTTCGTTAATAGCTGTAATTGGGGACTGTCTAGAAAGGCATCCCTAGAAAGGCATCCCAACACATAGTACTGTGAAATCAAAATTTTAAAATGGCCACAATGCGGCAGTCCTCGCTAAAATTTCTCCAGGAACTTTTTAGTATGAACATGCCATTGTGCTTGAGACTGGACAAGAGAAGTTGGATATCTAAATATTAAAGCTGATCCTTTAAATATATTACATTATAGTTTCTACAATCAGGGGCTTCATAGTCTGTACAATGCATTTTACAGAGTAGTTTGTTTTTCAAAGGTTTGTACACGGAGTCCTTGGCTACTACTACAAGACTGATGCTGAAGTACAACAGGACTCTGAACTACAGAAATGGCTTTCCGACATCTTTGAACATGGATTTCTTTCCCAGACTGGCACAGGTGTTATATAGAATCTTGACCTTTATCAAATATCAGTGCTTTGTGCAATGAAAGCATCAAATGTTGAGTCATTTGTCTAATTTGGGTAATAAAGATTGTTTGGCTTTTTTATGCATTAGGAGTTCCACAGAGATTCACCACTGTAGATGAGCTGATAAAGTTTGTTACCATGGTTGTCTTCACTGGCTCAGTCCAGCATGCTGCTGTCAACAGTGGACAGGTAAACACCTGACTACTTAATTTTTGATGACTTGTATTGTATTATTAGATGAAGTCACAGTTGAAATAAAGTCCAATATGCAATGCTTCTACATGAGACTTTCCTCACAGAACAAAACAATCCCAGTTTAAAATTAAACAGAGCTGTTCAAACTTTTTTTCAAATTTTTTTTGATTTTCTCTTTATGCTGCAGTATGACTATGGTGGCTGGATGCCAAACACTCCCCTCACCCTGCAACTTCCCCCACCAACCAAAAAGGGGGAAGCAACTGAGGCCACTATGCTGAACACACTCCCAGATGTCAATGCAACGGTTCAGGGCATGGCCACCCTGTGGCTGCTTAGCCAAAAGTCCACTGACTTTGTAAGTGGGAAAAACTTTTTTTTGTTTACATTTTAAATTGCAGTTGTACTTGTGTTGACACTGTTTGCAAAAGTGAACAAAAAATATTGTACTTAAAAACTGCCAAAAAAATGTATCCAGCTTACTACTTGAAGCTCCACAGAGTAATCCCTATAGCCTAAATTTAAAGTTTCATTCATCTCACCAGGTCCCTCTAGGCCACTACCCTGAGGACCACTTTACTGAGGACACTCCACGCAGAATGATACAGGACTTTCAAAGACAGCTTGAGGTGTTAAGTGGTGCCATCAAAGACCGAAACAAGCATCTGAAAGTGCCGTACACATATTTGGATCCAGTCGAAGTAGAAAATAGTGTGGCTATTTGAAAAATGTACCGGGTGGTAGTAGTATTAAACCTGTATTGAGCTAATGTGATGTATTAAGTTTTATTGGAACATATGGGAACATCTTTCATTATATTTTCACCATATGAAACAGTTCTAAGAGTATATTATTGAGCAAATTGTTTATAATGTGGGTATTTGCATTAGTGTATAACAAAACATGCTTAAAACGGATCCAATCAAAAATAAAATAAAACAATCCAATTGCATTGTGGAAAACATGAATTCTCAAAACAAACTGATTATTCTCAAACTATATTCACTATTCAAATCCTTCAGTGACAGCACATATAAGTACTGATTTTTTTATGTATTTTATTCTTTTAAAACTTGGATGGTTTTCAGTGGAGTGTCTTACTAGTTTAAGTGCACAAGATTAAAGGTTTGACAGACAATATTGGACAGTTTCCTTATAAAATAAGGCAATCTGTAATGTGATGGTGATACCTCAATGTAAAATTTCATGTAATGTACAACAACTCAGATTAGGCTTATGTTAACGTGGTAGAATCTACCATAAAATAAAACCACACATCTATCTTAAAATTAATTATACAATAGTGTCATTTTAAATATTAAGGTAGGATGGCATAAGGACATTCTTATAACATACACATTGGTTTTTATTTAATGTTTTATTTATACAGGATTGACTCCTTTATTTATACAGGTTAGTTCCCAAGAATCATTTACAAGAGACCTGTTGCATACAACATACAGGCAGATGAGAAAAAGAGAACATGAGGGTGGAAGAAGCCAAACAATACATAAATCATGTCTCACGCCATGTCCTGGCTGGGAAATGTGTAAAAGATGAAAAAAAAAAAAAAAAACTCACAGCGTAAAACGGTAACATACAATGACGACATAATACAATTATGCATGGAGGTTAACAAAGATGGTGAGTTGTCCATAGACACTCCAGAAAGTTCCAAAGTTCTGATAAGATGGTGCAGTATCTATCAGCATCATGGTTCTGATGAGGCCGTGGGGGTGGGGTGGTGGGTGGCAGAAGATTCAAGTTTACGTATCCCCTAGGAGCAATTTGAAATGAGTTGACTTGTTCAAGGCCAGTGGGGAGGCCAAATTCAGATAAAAAAACATTTGTGTGGGCCGCCAGACTCTGATTTCTGTCTGCCTTCAGTTCTGCTGGTACACTCAATGGCAAATCCAAACAGCCAGATTTGTGGACATTCCACCCGGTCTGTGCTCGATTAGCTTTCTTTAAAGATCAAATCCGTCATGTCAAATCCGTCATGCCGGCGAGTTCCAGGAGCCGCAAGTGACCTACGATTCTCAGAAATCGCGTCCAGCTAGCGGTTGAGCTTGTTAAGCACGTGAGTCTGAGAGCTCGAAGCACAAATTATTCCTTCACATAGGGCTGGCAAGTTTACCATGGCCAAAACTGCTGCCGATGTCTTCCTAATTTGTTGATATCCTAGGTATCTGCCAATTCCAAAATGCAGAAACCTTATTATCACAAATCCAATACTGTAAACATCTTCTATGTCCTCCACGAACCGCGCACATAGGCACATCATCTTCCACTCCCCCGAGGAATCAATGGCATACCCATCTGCATGGGTCCATTCAGGGCATGAGGACTTTACAACACCCTGTCATCTGGTTGAAAAAAAATTTATCAAATGCGTTGAGGGACCAGCTAACCAAAGAGTTTTCAATTCAGAAGATGTGTAAAGAACGGCTTTGAAGTTGACAGGACAAGACAGCAAAAAAGAAAGAGGGAGGGAGAAAGGGTAAGAGTGATCGTCTTCGAGAGCAAAAGAGAGAATGCTGGGCCCATAACCCAGAGGTCAATGGATCGAAACCATCCTCTGCTAAAGCACCATTTTCATTAGAACTATCACACATGGATCATTACTTTTAAGTTACCAATGTAGTGGACTAGGCCTACGTCGAAACCCAGTCTAAGGTCAAAACTCTTGACCTTTAGAACCTTGTGGGACAGAAGCTGTCATTTCATGTATTTGAATTCATAAATACAGGTTCACCCATCCTGAGACTTTCTTTCTTGAAGATTCAAGTGAAAAGAACACTCTCTTTTTATAATCATTACTGTCTTACAAATGTTTTGATAATCAAGTTGTGTTAGTTCACTCAATGCTTTACAGGTTGAAAAGAACTACTCATTTTTATTTTACATAAACAGTAAGTAATGATTTTTATTCCTCATTCAGAGAAGAAATCACCTGAATAAGCATTTCTTGATTTTCTGTCTTTTGAATGAGCAAGTGTGTGCGTTTACAAGGTTACAGTCAAACGAAAAACAAGTTGTTATGTTAAAACTGTCATGTTTTAGAATCCTCTCAGACGTAAATAGAGATGTTTTGCACCTGTGTCTTAGGCACGCCAAAACAGAACCCTCTCGGTCTGTGAGAACATTTCTGAGCTGTCTCATAACAATTCTCGCTGTCTCTAACCCCTTACGTCACAAAAACACACCCCTTCTGGTCGTTTCTGACCAATGAAAAATCCCAAAAAGTGAACCGGGAAAGAGTCTTTAAAATGTCAGTACTTCCTGGTCTACTCAGACAGTTACTGACTCTACAGGGACTCACAGGTACTCACAGAGTGACTTACGACTCACGGAGTTACAGAGTTCACGGAGTTGGAGAGTTGTCAGACTTCTAGAGTTCTGGAGTTCTGATGGAGTGCTGTTGGAGTTCCTGACATGACAACGAAGCTCTTCCGAGTTCCATGGGATTATAACATTTTCCACTGAGGTGAATGTGTGTCGAACAGAGCCTCGCCACTACTTCTGACGGGCGACAGCCATTCTAAGGAGACGCTGCACCGGTAGCGTTAACGGAACACCATATCTGCTGATTATCATCAGAGAGGTAATGGGTCAAGTTTCCTACCAAGCGTACCGAGGCGAGCTGGGCTTCTGATGGAGAGTGTCGGTTCTGGTAACATTCAATTTCCCTCAAACCCCATCCTTTACTCCCTCTAAACTTCTTTCCATCTTTAAACTTTCCTATGAAGTAGAAATTCTCCCAGATATTTAGAAATGTCTGTGTAAAGTGCTTATTCACATCCGTGTGGGTAAAAGATCATAGTTGTACAGTTTTATAAATGTCTGTGGTGCAGCAACGGTAAAATCATGGCCGTATGATTTTTCCTGATTGATTGCTTATATTGTTATTTTCATAATTTGCCAAATTAATGTAAATGTTTGATGTTAA